CCCAACAAACGAGTCACGTTGGTCATACATGTACGTGTACGCAGAACTGATGTACGTCGTTGTTGCTTCAGTATCGTAAACTGACTGGCGTGTTCTTGCATGAATCGGAGAGCGGCGTGTTCAGAATATTGTTCAATCGATCGTGTAAACATACTTGTGCATGTGGCATGGGAGGTGACGACCTTGGAGAACACGTTCGCGCCAATCACCATGGAGAACACACTCGTGCTTGACGGGAGCCAATCATCGTCCGTTTCGATGCGAAGATTTGACCAATCCGCGTCCGGGAGTCGGTTTATAAACAGCGAGCCAAGCGATTCTTCCCTCACTTCTTTTCTTTTCAGGGAGCGCTTCGGAGCTGTTGTGTGCCCTAGGAAAATTCTACGCTAACGTCCATGAACAGGGCTGTTCTGAGTACAAACGAAATTCCTGGCTTGCCGCTTGATCCGCAATCATCAGGCCATTGACTTGTGGAGCGTCCAAAACCTTGTTTGCTCGCTGGAACTCTCCGTCTGTGAAGATGCTCACTGTTGGTTGACGACTTGTCAGCACCTGGTCACATGCGGATCCAGCGGCAATGGCAAGCAAGGAATTTCATTTGTACTCAGAAAAGTCCTGTTTACGGAAGTCAGCGTAGACATTTTCTAGGGCACTCGACAGCTCCGCGGATCCGGTGCGCTGGCTGAAGAGGAATCAAGCGCAGCACCGAGTACACCTCTCTTTACAGTAAGTATCGAAAAGTGGTGAGTATAAGTGGTGAGTATAAGCGGTGAATATAAGTGGTGAATATAAGCGGTGAACATTCAGCAATATCCACCACTTGTGTAGATGGCCAATTGTATGTGGGTAAATATGGAATGAGGTATAACGTATTATACTTTACTCTTGCTATTAGTAAGTATTACACTTTTATTCCCGTAGCTATGCAGAAGACGTTACTTCAGTAACGTCTGGCGCTAGCCAGGGTCCACACAGCTTTAATTCCCGTAGCTATGCAGAAGACGTTACTTCAGTAACGTCTGGCGCTAGCCAGGGTCCACACAGCTTTAATTTGGTGTTTGTTTGTGTGTTTGTTTGTTTGTGTCACGCCTGGCGCTATTTTGTATCTATCCCGTACTGTACCGTACCAGCAAAGACAGCTGGCCACAATATTTTTGTTTGTTTGTGCCATCGACATGCCTGGCGCTATCCCGTACCTGTCCCGTATCATCAAGAGTACGGTACCATCAAGAGAATGAGTATATATGCGAAGTGTATGGGGGGAATGCATTCAGTGCAGTAACATTAAATTTTGTGTGGATTTGTGTGCGAGGCCGAGATCCCACTAGCAGGCTGGCTGGGCCGCCTGTCGACCAGCCCGGAAATCGCATGTAGGCCGATAGCATAATAATTATAACGTATATACAGTCATGTAGATGTATAGCAGGGAGTCATATTATGTAAACGACTCCCTGCTGTATGGGGAGATTTTCTGGAAAGAAATACGAAGTAGGGAGACGAGTAAATGCAATCAGAATGGATGTTAGTTGCCGTCAGTATAATAATAATAATAATAATAATAATAATAATAATAAGAAGAAGAAGGACGCCCGTGATCGGCAGAGTCAGCGCCGGTCCCAGGAAACGTCAGGACAGACATCCCGTCGACTCCAGAACGCCCGTCATCGGCAGAGTCAGCGCCGGTCCCATAGCTATGCAGAAGACGTTACTTGTACTTCAGTATCTCATTGAAACGTTTTTGCAAAACAATGATTTAGCTAATCAAAGGAAAAAGCATTTCCATCAGTTCTAACAACATGCACGATGAGCTAGGCAACAAAGCATAGCGCAGGGCCCTGAGCTTCCAAGCTCTCTCGTTTGGTGTTTGTGTGTTTGTTTGTGTCACGCCTGGCGCTATCCGTATCTGACGGCAAAAAAGCATAGGATGTTATAAATTCCTCAATTCTCCTTTTTTTTCAGGCATATCCTGGGATTCGAACCCGCACTATCGCCCTACATGCATTCCCCCATACACTTCGTATTCATACCCATTCTTCCAAGTTGCTTTACGTTATTATCTTGCGTTTCAAAGCCCTATTTGAATATTGCGGGCAGCTGTATGTGGCCAGCTGTGTTTGATGGTACGGTACGGGAGACGGTGTCGTATTACCCTCGATCGTACCTATCCCCTGCCGTACCGTGCCATCAAAGACGGCTGGCCACAATGCATATTCAAATAGGGCTTTCAAATGCAAGATCACAATGTGAAACAACTTGGAAGAATTAGTATGTATGCGAAGTGTATCGGGGGATGCATGCAGGGCGCGCGATAGTGCGGGTTCGAATCCCAGGTTATGCCTGAAAAAAAGGAATTTTTTAAAGGATTTATAACATCCCTATGCTTTTTTTTGTCTAGGTCATCAAGGCAAAAAAGCATAGCGTAGGGCCCTGAGCTTCCAAGCTCTCTCGTCCATATGTACAGAACGGATGCATGTCATGATGGTCAGTGGCAGTAGAAGTCCTGTGTACGCCCACACTACGCACATGGTAGATCTACGGTACTCTACGGCTACCTGTACATCAGGGAGTCGTACCCCAACTGGTATTAAAGACTCCCTGCACGGCTGTTAGCTGCACTTGGATCGCGGCAACTTAGTTTTCTGCACGTGAACCATGAAAAATCAATGCATGCTCATGCATGTTCATGCATAACCAGTCAGCTGGCCTGCTCGCCCACGCATTTGACAGGTAACAATTCCATCAAATTTGAGATATCGCTTCGTTCTAAGTCTCAAAACAGTTCTAAAGTCACCAAACCACGCTGGTAATCGATGGCTATTCAATGTTAACATCTTCAGGAAGACTTCAGCCGTTTCCCGAGAGTTTGGGCATCGTTGCCGTTATTTTTCACGGTGTTCTTCTTCCTCCTGTCTGGAGCTGCAATTGCATCCTGGAATTATTTGAAAGGTATTTCGTGCGGGCTGTGGGGGGTTCCAACAGGCATAAACTGACATCGCTATAGGATAACTGGTAACTTTCACCCTTCAAGGAGGTAGAGCAATGAGAATTTTTTTGTGGCGGTCGTCCAATTTTTGTGGCGGTCGTGGCTGTATTTGTGCCCTTCCAAGGCTTTCATTCTGCCTGATACTACTCTCTACTGTATGGGAATCGTTGTTTAGGCACATGTAGCTGTCTTATTTGGTAGATCTGCTGTTTTCAATCACTTGGGACACTTTGTCTGGCCTATTTGTCTTTCGTTCGTGCCATCTATCAGTTTTGTGGGGTGCCTTGACCTGTATTTGTGAAGTTCTCGAGTAAAGACCCTAATTCTTGACTGGAGTCACGTCTTGAATTGAATTTGCTGTTTGAGCCCTCGTTCACGCAGTTGTACTTATCGTAATAGTCAATATCTGCTTTCTGGACGGACTAGCGGCTAGAATAGGGATGACCAAATAGTCCAAGTGTGTACTAGTACATGATTATTGTTTCCATCATCGTGAAATGAGCGTTGTGGAATTGCAGTCGTCTGCCTTTGGCAATGAGGACATGAGGAGAGTTGATTGTTACTTCTGCTCAGCAATGAAGCGATCATCAGCTCTCTTTGTTCTAATTATTGAGAGGACATACCGGCATCGCAATCAAGTAAAGATTAGGCAAACTCGCCAACCTCCAAAGAGAGTCGAAGATATTTTCTCCAAATGCAAAGACGATCTTTGTGAGTTTGTGACTTGCATTTGCGTGCATACATGAGCAAGTCACGGACCACGGCACGTGCGCGGTTACCATGCCATCTCGAACCGACGCCATCTTTCTAAGTTGCCGCTTCTTGACAGCCGTGCCTGGTATACATTGTACCGCTGTGGGCATTACTAAAACAATTTTTTGAAAGATCACGGAGCGGAGGATTGAAATCACCGGAGCTTTCACTTACACTTGTCAGAGCATAAGCAAGTAACAATTACTAACGACAACGACGTGTTACCTTTTTTGTTTTCAGTGCACATTATTATTGACTTACCTAGCTCAGAAACAAACGGTCCTGTCGAACCCGGCGTATTCGCAAGTGCCCAATTTGTAGTTGTTCTACCTATCAAGTATCAGGTAGCGGACCGAGACCACAGTCATAGCGATTGCCTCGTCCAGACCACTCATCCAGCTCAACCTCACGAAATGAATTTTCCGCCGCTGACTCGAACACGAGTACAGTGCGCGCTGGGCAAGCTGGCGTTCGAACTGACGTGACACCACAGACACTGAACGACGTATCGATAGCTGCAAGCCTGGTCAGCCGGCCTTGGGCCTGAACAGCCGCCCGTCTCACAACCGCTCATTTGATAATGGTAATGGATTATCAAGGAGAGAGGGTCTTTTTATTTTGCTCATGCGCGGCTTCCCGAGAGTTCATTTCCCGCCACCGCGCGATCATCGTGTTGCCGCAAATCTGTGTGACTCATCACCTCATCATGTACTGCACTGATACAGCCTCGACATAATCATGATAATGAAACTGAGAAGTGAGAGCCTGTCACTTGAAGACTCCAGGGAAGAGGTTACTATCGGGACAACGGCATCGCAAGACACAAACTGTGTAAAGGGAAGAGGTTGTACTTGTAGCTTGTAGACCCGTCTACCCTTTTTGTGTTTGACTGATCGTAGTATTGCACTTGTATGTTGTAGACTCTGTGCACCATGCATGATACCGTCCGTGCATGGTGAACAGAGTCGCAGTGCAAAGCCATGGAGAGTTGGAGAGTCACCATGGTCACCTCCTCCTACTCCTAGACGTCCTGCTACTCTCCGCAAAACGGATCAAAAGTGCCAAAACTAAAAAATGGCAACGTCACACAAAAAGTAATATATATATAATAGTACTAATACGATCACGATCTGCTGTGCCGATCGAGCTACCACCCGCGTGCTGGCTTCGGCAGGTAGATACACATAATAACTGTGTGTGTAGTTACTACCCGTAGTAGAGGTCTACAGAAGTACAGTCATGCAACAATGTTACATGATGAGATGCACCCGCACCGTTCGCACACTTGCCCATCCCGCGCAGTCTTGTGCGATACCATGCCAGAAGGCCTGCGCAGGGATCATTTTCCGCCAGCCAGGGAAGTCACCGAACTAACTACGCCGGGTGTCGACACTGCAACGAGCCATGACGGCAGACGTCGCTGCTATGCTGGCTGTTGCCTTTTGTGGAGAGCTGGCTCTCCACTGTGGATTTCCCACTCTCCCTGGCCATGGCTTTGTCAGACGATCCTGGCTCAATCAGCTGGGAATGATGCCAAGCTAGTTGTTCTCTGGAGGTGAAGAAGGTTAGTTTGTTCCAGTGACCATTGAGCTCCTGCAGACAGAGAAAAAGGCAGTCGTGTGCTTCGGCAAGACGAGCAAATCGGCCGCTGTCATTGCGGCGCAGAAAGTGGTGTTGTGCGCGCCTTCAAGTTCATCCTCGCTGGTACCACGGCACACACGGGTGCAGTCGTGAAAGTGAAAGTCGAAGCGGCGGCGGGGTTGTTCTGTAGCTGACGAACAAGCACCCCACTTCGGGTGCGCTGGTGTCGTTGTGCAGTTGTTTGTGGCCCACGAGCAGGACGGCGACCATGTCAATGAAGTCAGGAGGTTGGCTGCTGCTACCGAGCATTCTGCTTTTGCTCAGCGCAGTACCGTGCAGGGTGTCAGGCAATAGCTACGTCGTGTCTTTTCCGTGTTCCATCCATCCTGGCGAGCCCACGAATATTGGTCTGTCAGTGCTGCGCTCCGTGGGACGAGAGACGGTCGTAACGGTCAGGATAAGTCATTACGAGGAAGTACTGATGGAGCAACGGGAGGTGGTGACCAGCAAGCGCCATCTCGCCATCCCGATACAGATGCCGATGAACATCGCCCCGCTGGTGCACAATGCCGTGAACCTGACAGTGAGCGGTGTGGGTGGTGTAGACTTCTCCAACACCAGTCTCGTGACAGTTGGCAGAGCGGGCTCGGTTTTCATCCAAACGGACAAACTTGCCTACAAGGCTGGTCAAACTGTGCAGATACGTGTTGTGGCTGTTCATCGCAGTCTGATGCCCTACAGCGCCCAGGCGAACGTGGACGTGTACGACGCGCTCCACAACAAGATCCACCAGTGGCAGAACGCTTCTCTGGACACGGGCCTGTGGACCGGTGAACTGCCGCTGTCCTCACAGCCCGTCCTGGGTACCTGGTCCATCCGCTACTTTGAGGACGGAATGCGCTCATCGCAGGTTCAGGAATCGTTTGATGTGCGCGAGTACGTGTTGCCGAAGTTCGAGGTGACCCTGACCGCGCCGGAGCAGGTCTCCATGGACGACTTTGCTAGCTTGACGGTGCAGGCGAAAGCAACGTACACTCACGGCCGACCCGTCCGTGGCACGGTCAACATCCAGGTGTCGCTGGACTCGTCATTCCGGCCTCTGCCGCCCCAGTGCATGGACCGGGGCGGCTTCGTACCGTACCAGGACTACCATCGCCCGGCCAAGCAGGTCGTCAGCAACGTGTTTGTGCTGAACAAGCAGGGCGAGGCGACGTTTGTGATGCGTCGTCGCGAATTCACCCACCAGCTGCTGTGCGGCGGGACCTTCCAGGACTTCAACATGTACGAGCGCTACAAATTCATGGCCAACGCATCCGTCATGGATGATGTAACCGGAGAAATACAATGGACCACCGCTGAAACGATGATAGTCAAGTCGTCGCTGACCATAAAGTTCGACCCGTATATCACTCGGCAATACTTTCAGCCAGGTGCGTTGTACCCGGTGCGTATACTAGTCACAGATCTTGACGGCAGTCCCAGCAGAAACAACACGGAGGTGAAGTTCACGCTGGAAACCATGACGACCAACAAGACACGCAGCGAGAAGGTTCAGAGCCTGCACGTCCGCAACGGCGTTGTCACCATGGCGATTAATGTTGAGTCGGATGTCACGTACATGTCACTAAAGGCCGACCTGGAACCGAACGTCCGCAGCACATTCACCCCGATACGATTCTACTCTCCCAGCGGAAACTATGTTTCCCTGGCAACAGAGCGGTCGGCATATACGGCGGGCGAGGATATCGTGCTGACAGCAACATCTACTCTACCCGTGCCGGAGTTTGTTTTCATGGTGATAGCTCGGTCTGAACTTCAGCTGTACACGGAGGTCAAGACCAAGCCAGCAACACCGACAGAAGCTGCCGTGACGTTCAAGATCAGTCCCCGCATGGCGCCGTCGATGAAGGTGCTGTGCTATTACGAGGTCAACAACGAGATGGTGATCGACTCACAGGAGATATCCGTCAGTGGGGCATTTGACAATAACGTCAGTATTGAGTTCGATATGACACGAGCCGAGCCCGGTGCTAATGTGTCTGCGATCGTCCGGGCAGCGCCAGGATCCACCGTTGCTATTGGTGTCATCGACAAGAAAGCTCAGCTGTTGGCCCGGGGCAATGAAATCACTGTGGAGCGCGTGGAGAAGGATCTCAGCTCGTACAGTTCAAGTTCTGTCAGCTCCTACGCAGGCGGAAGCTACCTCGGTGGTGCTCAGGTTATGCAGCGCAAGAAGCGTCTCGCTCTACCGTCCTTCACTAGCCGTGGATATCATCAGGAAGAGATGGCAGCCAGCGATGTCCTGAGCCATGCCGGGCTCTGCATGCTGACGGATGTTCATATTCCTGAGTCGCCACGGCAAAGGTACCGCCCACAGACGCGAAATCTTGGACAGGTTCCCGCGGATGCGATGGCAATGCAGCCGCCCGTAGCTGCCCGTGGCTTCATGGCAGCAGGCCCCGCGGCAGGTGCCAGCTTCGCCCAGCCTAGCCGCGTCCGCACCAACTTTCCGGAGACGTGGCTGTGGCTTACGGGCACAGCCGACAGTGACGGCATAGCCAAGCTCAGCGGACAGGTTCCGGATAGCATCACCACCTGGGTGGGCGACGCGTTCGCTCTCTCGTCCGCGCAGGGACTCGGCGTGGCGCCAAGCAAGGCTCAGCTGACCGCCTTCAAACCGTTCTTCATCACCCTGAACCTCCCCTACTCGGTTATCCGCGGAGAAGAGCTCAGCCTCCAGGTGAATTTGTTCAATTATTTGTCCGACATGGAGGCTTTTATCCATCTCCAGTCGTCTGAGGAGCTGACAGTTGTTGGCTCAAGTCCTGGCGAGCTTGTTACGAAGAATCTGACCACCATGCAAGGTGGTGCAGGTAGTGTCGAGTTTCTGGTAATCGCGCAGAAGGCCGGTCACGTCGCAATTGATGTCACTGCGCGATCGCCGAAAGCTGCCGATCGCATTCGTCGTCAGCTGCTCGTCGAAGCTGAGGGCGTCCAGCATTCCTACTCCATGGGAGTTCTGCTAGATCTGACCGAGAAGGAGCAGTCCAAGCGTGATCTCGGGCTTCAGCTGCCGTCCGGAATAGTACCCGACTCGGTTACGGCCAAGTTCTCCGTGATTGGCGACATCATGGGCCCGGCTCTGTCCAATCTCGACCAGCTGTTGCTCATGCCATCCGGCTGCGGCGAGCAAAACATGCTGGGCTTCGCGCCCGATGTATTCGTCATGAAATACCTCACAGCGACCGACCGCAGTACGGGAGAAATCGCCGAGAAGGCAACGCGATACATGCGCCAAGGCTACCAGAGGCAGCTGACGTACATGCACGCTGATCGCTCGTTCAGTGCGTTCGGCAAGCGCGATCCAAGCGGCAGCCTGTGGCTGACGGCGTTTGTTGCAAAGTCGTTTGCGCAGGCGGAACCGTTCATTTTCATCGACACGAGCCTGCTGAGCCAATCCCTGCACTACATTGTGCGTCAGCAGAAGAGCGACGGCTCGTTCCCGCTTGTCGGCATGGTCCACCATCAGAGCATGAAGGGAGGCTTGCAGGGAGAGGTGGCCCGTACTGCCTACGTACTGACGGCCCTGGTGGAAGCACAGCTAGTCACGTCCAAGGACTCCGCGGCAGCTGGCGACAATTCCGTCGGGGTGGCTGTCGACAGTGCACTTATGAGAAGTCGAAAGTACCTGGAGAACAATTTCAGGTCGGGAATAGCCGACAACTACACACTGGCACTGACAGCGTATGCTCTCGGTCTTTCAGGCAGCCGAGAGGCACAGAAAGCTCTGGACATGCTCGTTGGTCATGCCGACCGCTCCGGTGGTGCCATGTCGTGGAGCGATGCACGATCGGATCAGACGGCCAAGTCGAGCGATCTTAGCTTCCTGTCAGTCAGTCCAGCACGTGCGTCTGATATCGAGCTGACGGCTTACGGACTGCTCGCACTCCTGCAAGCAAAGGACATGGCGAGCGCTTCGTTGGTAGCGAGATGGCTGTCCACCCAACGTAACTCGCTCGGTGGATTTGGATCGACACAGGACACAGTTGTTGGATTGCAGGCTCTCTCCGAACTGGCCGTGTCCATGAGCTCCGCCAAGCAAGACGTGAACATTATTTTGAGCAGCACTGCGTCGGAGTCCTTCAAGAAGTCATTCCGGGTGACGCAGCAGAACACGGACGTCCTCCAAACAGCCCTGGACATCCCTGTTCCCGGTACCCTGACCGTCAGGGCAGAGGGAAGCGGCTATGCCCTGGTAACGGCTGAAGTGTTCTACAACGTACCGGAAGGATCGTCGTCTGGGTACGAGATGAGCGCCACCTGCAGCCTGGAATCGTTCCGCACAGGGTTATCGGCTATCTGCGACTACTGCACAGCTGCAGAAGTGGCAGCCAAAGAGGCCGGCGGCATGTCCCTACTCGAGATCACAGTTCCGTCCGGCTTCGAGGCCGATGTCGACGCACTGCGCATGGCTACGATAAACCATCGGCTCATCAAGCGCGTTGAGTCGCCGGACCGTAGGTTAGTGCTCTACCTGGACGAAGTGCCTGAGCAAAAGCTCTGCGTGTCGGCTCATCTCCGTCAGGTCAGTGACATCAGCAACGTGCAGCCCGTCGTCATGAGAACCGTCAACTACTACCAGCCCTCGGTTAGCTCCGCTCTGCTGTACAACGTGGCCACAGTGGACTCGTGTCGACGAGCTCACGTCACCAGCTGCCCCGTCGTGTCAGCCATGGATGATTACACTCCCTCCAGTTCCAGCACAGCGTGTTTCTCAGCCACACTGGTGGTTGGCCTGCTTACTTTCTCCGTGCTTTTCCTCTGAGTGACTCTATTCTGAATGTTCCGTGTTTTCTTGCACTCTAAATCCGGCGCCGCTGAGCGTGCATGCTTCTGTATGTCTGGGTGTTCTGCTTCTCGCTATTGCTGCAGCAACTACTGCAGCTGTTACTGCTGTATGAATCAGCCCTCAGTGGAGTGTTCCCAAACTTCTCGGCTTTCCACATGTCCGTCCGATTCCTTCTGCTATAGTACGCAGACAATTTCACAGAAAACTTGAGTTTTTTTTCCGCCTACACATCCACATACCGCTCCCCATAATTATTCTGTGATTCACAAGTGTTCATGTTATATTCAATTTAAGGTTGATTTTGACTGCATCAGTTTCTACACAATACGTACACAGCTAGCTTGCTTGTAAACTATGTCACTAATGCCAGTAATGGAATCGGGTACTTCAGTTTAGTAGTATAATTATACTAGTAAATAAATAATAAAAAATAAGTTCGACGGGTTCGCGTACCGGTCAGGTCAAGAACAAGGAGTCGTACAACTCCCTGGTCAAGAACCACCTTTCCGCTGCCGTGCGGCGCCACTACCCCATGATCAGGCGTCAGATGCGGCTCCTAAACGGTGGGGGAGGATAGATCAGATCCACCAACCATAGGCCAAAGGCCTAAATCCCATTTGCCACGTCCATGATCATTATACTAGTAGGCTTTGATAATCTTCTATTGTTAGGCATGTGATGTGCAGCACATTAATTTTCTAGAGTCCGTTTGCCTGCACGGTGCACCGATTTGATATCGTTATTAGCACAATTATTTTAGACCTCAGCTAGGAATTGGTACCAAATAGCAGCTTGTCGGTTCTGTTCTGTGATCCCCTTGCAGTAAACGCCTGTGGATAGGCGATGCATTCCTGCTTCGCGCGCGTGAGTGTGTGTTATCGCGCGTGCATGCCCGTGCTATTTGAGTGAAGGGGGGGGGGGGGAGGGGGCTGGTTAGACCCGCATACTTGTGCAGTATGCTCCCCGTATGGGATACATCATGGCAGTATATTATGTTCCATGTCATTGTGTACTCAATTATTCCATTGGACAAACACATGTGCATTCAGGTTTAATATTAACATTAAAATTGTAGAAAGGAAAAGGACATAAGGATACGAGTTAAGAGTAACTCTCCATCACTGTAACTTAAATTAAAATTGTATCGATACTTCAGTGACTATTTGCATGCAATTATGTGTCATGAATAGGAACTGGGCGATGTTAGGCTGGAATTTCAACTTCGAAGGGAGTGCATACGGGTACATCACAATGGCTACTGTTAACTTCGGTTTAAATTTAATAAAATCCAATAAATAATTAAATTAATGATTCCGTACCTGATGGCGCAGCATATACATCAGCCACCGGTCCGAAGAACATGTTACGGCTCCACTGAAAAACGCACAAAGGGGCATCTGGAAGCTTTCGTTAGCGCAACGCACGCACACGGCATTACCGTCAACACCACCATGCAGACACCCACAAACTGCCACCATTGCAGCAGCCACACCAGCAGGTCATTATAATTCCAGGCACATAAATACAGGCCACAATAGGTAACTGTTGATCAGTGCGTTTTTTGAGAACTTACTGCCCAGGGGATTTCCCCCAAGAGCAGTAGGTATGCCCCCTTTAGGGATTGTTCTTCATCACAGTTTTGCAGTCCACCAACCTTGCAATGTGCAGTATGCTTAAATGCACAGGGAACAGGACGAATATACTAGTAGCTGATTGCCCTCAGGCTCTACTGTGAGATGTCCTTCATTACACAGTTGTACACGTATCAGCCTCTCCATATCCCCATACGGCTCATGGTCCGTTGAACACGGAATATGTTTCGACGCTTATAGCCTAGTACAATTGCAAATCAGGCCAGGCCAGCTGTCCACAGATTGAATAGAAATACCAAGGCGTTTTTAGAGAGAAAATATAATAAAAGTAAGTGGTGCTGCTGAACAAAGGAAACACTTATAATTTCAAAATAATTTCAAACAGTTGAAGTCAATCATATATTCATAATTTAGATAGTGCTGTGCAGTGAAAGAAAGGTGCTAGAACGGCATAATTATCAAGAATTTTAGAATATTATTATTATTATTAGACACAATCTCATAGCATGTGACAAGCATAGCTAATGCAGGGACAGAATCCCCTGAGACAAGGGCGTTGAGCCAGTCACGGCAATAGTAAGCTAGGAAAACAAAGCAAATATTAATTAAAGCAAAACATGAATGGAAAATTACAAAGAAAACGATTAACGGAAGTGAGCACAATCAAAAATATGCATTCTTTACAACTGTGCAGAAGCAACAGTGTGCATCAAGGTCACCATCGCTAGCCTGCTAGCGTCAAATCCGATGTACTGCAAGTCAAGAATAATAATGAAAGTGCAGCAGCCCATTGAAAGAGCAGCTTTTGAGAAACCATTCATTTTGCCTGCAACATGTAATGAAGTTTCATGGGTTGCAGGTAATGCAAGATGTAGAAAAAGTATTAAGAAATGGGAAAAATACTCTCAGAAAAGAGTGTGGGGTCGGTTGATCAAGAGTTTCAACTTTCAAGCTATGTTCACTTTCAAGTGCAAGTAGCAGTTTACGGTCTTCCCATGGCAATGACAATCACTCCTTGCTGCAATGAATAAGTTATCCTAGATGGAGCAGGCAGTAAGCTAAGGAAACCCATTCACCTTGTGCCATGAAGCGGCAGACACAGTGACAACAGCGCTGCTGGAGAAAGTAGTGAGGTTCAGCCTGTGTGTCATGCCATGGAATTGCCTGGAAGAACAAGAGATGTCGATCAGTGGCCACGTCGAGGAACACACCGTGCAGATCTCAAGTCTCAAGATATAGGACTTACCGTCCCACGCCACGGCTATCCACATGACCATTGCTGCGCAGAGCAGTCCACTTCAAGTTTGAGTACAACAACACGTTGCAGATCTCACCATACGGAATATTTGTCTTGCGCTATCCACAGGTTTAAAGCTATGCTGAGCAGGAGGTGAACTTCACGTTATAGCATTGAACCTACTTCCCGGCAGTAGGAAAGACTAGCTACCACTAGAAGCAGTACATGTTCTGACGTGGTTCCGTTGCATGGACACCGGCTAGATCTCCAGCACCTCCACGAACTGGACCAGGGTGTCGATGTCCGACATTCCGCCAAAGCAGATCAGCCTCTGGCCATCGGTGACTATTGCCGGGAAGCTCTGCGGAGTGACGAGGTGCGGCAGTGCCAGCCACCGTGATCTGTCTCCATCCGGTGTGTACAGGAATACTGCATTGGAGCAGTCTCGCTTCCAATCAAGGCTTACAAGAGATGCCTCCAGACCACCGCAGATTATCAGGTGATCGCCCAGAACAACGGAGCCGCACAGCTTACGAGGTATTCGGCAGTGCACGTCCATCGTCCATTCCCTCTCGGAGAGCGGCTTGCCGAGATCTGCGCTCATCACGCAGGTAGCATCGTCACGCACCAGCCCGCTGTGGCCAAACACGTGCAGGTGGTCGCGATGGACGGCAAGCGACACATCAGCGGTAGCATGGGGTAAATCCGCCCAGGACTGCCACTTGCGAGTGCTCAGATCAAAGCTATGGACTGTGCTCACGTTACCTCCTTGCACTCGTAGACTGCCACGTCCACCGACGACGATGAGCTCAGTACCGTTCACGGCGACGCCGAACGAGAACTTGACCAGAGGTAGTTCACCGAGCGGCTCCCATTCATGGGTGTCCTTACTTCGGAGCATCACTTTGTAGCATCCCGTCTTATGTTCGTTGATGCACACACACACGAGACCGAGTGCGGTGGAGGTCAGGTAACACCTCCAGTGCCAGTGTTCGCCTGGGGGCATGCGAGAACGCTTCCAGCCGCCACCTCCGCCGATGCTTGCCGTGTCGAGACAGTAGAGGATCGCAACGCTGCCCTCCTGATGCCGCTGGAATGCGCAGTGCAATAAGCCATCGTGGACGCAAGCAAGCTGACAGCGTCTACGCGAGTGGCGCGGTAGTTTCATGAGTTGCAGCCACTGTACAAACCAAACATAGGATAAGCAAATACAGGGAAGACATGGAGAATTAGACGAATATATAGAGAACAGAGAACAGAGAACAGAGAGAGAGAGAGAGAGAGAGAGAGAGAGAGAGAGAGAGAGAGAGAGAGAGAGAGAGAGAGAGAGAGAGAGAGAGAGAGAGAGAGGGAAAGAGAGACATGGGGGGGGGGGGGGCAGAACAGGAGGTCCAAAATACCACCTAACCTATTATAGCGTGAGTTGCTGAGTCACTACAGCGCCTGTACATATCTCTACCCCAGAGTAGGGGTGCGTGGATTATGCTCGCACGTACCCGATATTATGCTTTCGGACATTTCCCGCGGAACTTCGAAAGTATTCTCCCAAAACATCGAAATGAAAAAATTCTCTAGAATTCCCCCAAAAAAAGAACCCCAGCACGAACCGTGCCTTGCGCATGCTCTTTAGTATGCAAAATGGACGGTCAGGCACGTGATCACTGCATGCAGGATCTACACTACACGACATTGTACTAATAGTTGTAGATCTACATGATCTGTCCGGGTGTTGCTGCATGTACGTGTACAATCGTCATGTACATGTACGTGCTTCCATACATGCGCGATTGTTCTCTGGTAGGTCAAAATTGACCGAATTCTCCCCAAACTCTTCTGAAGGTCAATGGATCTGGCAAAAGATCCATAGAAGTCCCTTAAACTTCCCAAAATTTTCTCGGGAGAATGAAGTCGAAGACACCACTGCAGCTGTACTTATGGTTGATAAATATGGTGGTAAAGACACACCTGGCAATATGGCGGTAAACACACGCCTGCCCACACACGCTCTCTAGGCTGCAAAGTTCTGGCAATGAGCTCTCCTTCTCACCACAACCACCATCAGTTCGCGCCTGGCAATGCAATGCTGGTCGATGCATGGCTGGCGGTATCCGGCATAGCAGGCTGGTACATCAAGTAGCGCATGGCACATAGATGATGACACAGCAACGACATTGCTCGATTGCGACGTACGTTTCGTCCCCGCTGGACTCATCAGGCAATCTTCTTCTTGGATGTCTTCATACGGAGCTTGAGTCAAGCTCCGTATGAAGACATCCAAGAAGAAGATTGCCTGATGAGTCCAGCGGGGACGAAACGTACGTCGCAATCGAGCAATGTCGTTGCTGTGTCATCATCTATGTGCCATGCGCTACTTGATGTACCAGCCTGCTATGCCGGATACCGCCAGCCATGTATCGACCAGGTGCCAGGCGCGAACTGATGATGGTTGTGGTGAGAAGGAGAGCTCTGTGCCAGAACTTTGCAGCCTAGAGAGCGTGTGTGGGCAGGCGTGTGTTTACCGCCATATTGCCAGGCGTGTCTTTACCACCATATTTATCAACAAAATTTTCTCAACGATAGTATTCCCAAATTATTCCGGGAATAATTCGCGCACCCCTGAGCCCAAAATCAATTGCTTGAAATTTACTACATTTAAGGATACGATGAAATAACTACAGAATACATGTACCCAGAAGCAACCACCAAGACTGCAAGGAAAGGCAATCAGCTAAAGCAAGTATGCATTGGTGAGTGTTTGTCTCCTCAAGAATATTCCCAGAAGGCCTAAAAAAAAACAGACCCTCGCATTTCCTAGCAGTATAAAAAAAAATGTGCTCATGTACATGTAGCTCTGGTATGTACGTCACATCGCGAGGCTGTCAGCCAACCGTTTAATCCTGCCCCTCAGGCATGGTGGTAACCTGACACAGGCAAAACTTCCTACTGTAAGTTGGTTATGTTCCGCAACACAATTGTATAGCCGGTGGTAACGTGAACGCGTGAACTTTACTTTGCATCTGAAGATGTTGAATGGTCTCTGCTGGGATGACGACCACACCATAGCTCAGTGGTTAGAGTATTGCTGGCCTCAAGCGAGGGTCCCTGGTTCGAGTCCTGGTGGCGACAGTCAATTTTTTCTTCAGAATTTTCCCGTTTGCGTGTTTCCCTCAAACCAGTGAATATTAATTTTTCTTTGGTTTTGTTTAGAAATAGTCACTGCACAACTCTTGCTGGGTTGCTAGGTGTGCAACCCCCAGGCATCCTCCAAGCACGTGGAGCGGTACGCCAATACGACGTATCCCCATTGGGAACAGTAAAGTGTTCTTGGTATCCAAGTTACCTGTTATCCGTACTCACTTCAATAATTATGGAGCAATCCTCCTGCGTCCCAGATAATGTTAACTGCCTAATATTCGCGACGGATTAATGTTCGCAATTTTCGCGAGAAGAGCGTAACGCGAATATTAATCAGCGTGAAATCAAGCTTCAACAGTGGGTGTATGTAGGTGGCCCCGGTGCTTCGCGAACTTTTGCCATCGCAAACCTGCTGATTCTAAGAAACCGCGAAAATTTAGTGACGCGAATATCGGGCGGTTTACAGTAATGCTCATACTAAGCAGATCTGTGCTTTGCACATAGTAAGCATGTTTGTGTCTTATGAGACAGGCTCGCCGGAACCAGTCCGGTTGGCCAGGATATCACCGGATCAACCGTTTTGGCCACCAACATATTATGTTAACTGCTATCGAGGGCATGTGCACCGGACATATAATACACTAAGTTTGAAAGGCCATAACACAACCGGACTGATCAAAAAACTGCTTCCGTCAGTCCTGTCAGAATACTCACTAGGTGACTGCCACTGTACAATATTACCATTATGATGGGCCAGGCCCGAATAGTTCGTGTATTGTAAATTTGAATTTGAATGGCAGTGAAGAGACCGTTTTTGGAGTTTGGAGTTGAGAAGTGAAGTTTCCTAAACTTCCACTGTGGATGGATCAACACATACACACAGTCATGCACATGTACCTTTGGAATGCACTTTGGCGGCTGCATCTCAGTGCTGGCGCAGACATTGAACATTCGGTAGCAGCGTCCCAGCATTCCAAGCTCTGTGTCCGCTCCAGCGGTTGCGCAGATATCGGCCACCGACAGCTTCTCAGCTCCTGCGACTGAGGGCCGATGGTGCAGGATTCTCGTCCACGGTCCGGGATTCACGATGGTCGACTGGCGGTATGGCGTAATTCCAGCTCCAGCACAGGTCTGCTCCGTGACGTCTACGCTCTGCAGATCTTCCAGGTGGTACAGATACTCATCATTTCCAGCCACAGCTCCACTTGCCTCTCCTGCTGGCGTGTCTGCTGGTGATGAAGATGGAAATAGCTCCCGCGGTTTCATAGGTATCCGACTGTCCGCATTCGGAGACCCGACGATTTGCTGCGGGGAGCTCACGGAACGTGGCGGCGTGAAAATGGTTTGCGATGCACTGGTGCTGCGTGAGACGCTGTCATGGCGCTTTGCATCACCAATCACGGGCGTACCCGGTGGATTGACAGGACTTGCTGCAGGTGTTGCCAGGATCTCGCGGAGCGGTTTGAGTCCGTCGCAAATGTCGTCGGCCGATGGCCTTTTCTCCGGCTTCTCTTCCAGGCACTGCACGATGATGGGTAGGAGCGGGTGGTCGGGTGAATCACTCCGCATGTTAGCCAGGTCACGGCGACCTCTTTTGGCAACAACAGCCGGCGGTGGTGGCTCCCTGCGCACACACATGGCCAGCATGGCTATACCGTAGGAGAAGCAGTCGGACTTCGGGCCGTACTCGGCTTGCTTATCAGGGTCGTCGTACCATTCGGTCTCCGGGGCCATGTAGCTCGGATTGCCCGGGTTGCAGGACATGCGATGGACTATGGAGCCAATCGCGATGGCGCGCGACACTCCCATGTCGGTGATCTTGGCATGGTAGTCGTCGTCGCCTCGCTGGCTCAGCATGATGTTCCTGGTCGTCAGGTCCCTGTGCAGGATTCCCACCGTGTGCATGTAGTGTAGGCCTGCCGCTACTCCACGGCCGATCTCCACCTGCTGCGATTCGCGCAGCCGCTGCAGAGACTCGTTCTTGTAGCGCTTCTTTAGGCTCTGCTCGAGCAATTCGAACACAATTCCGGGACTGCCCTGCTCGTGTCCCGGTCGTGGTTCAATGACACCCAGGATCTGGGCAATGTTGGGATGGCGCAGCACTCGATGCAGAGAAATTTCTTTGATGAAATTCTTCGAATCCAGCGATGGCTCGCCAGTCTCTTTGTACATCAGCGTGTCGTGGAGGCGTTTGATGGCCACAGGCGCGTGACACCAGTAGCCTTTAAACACGGTTCCAAACGTCCCGATACCTAGCCTCTCGTCCGTTTCGCGAACATCGTTGAGAAGAAATCCACACGATACTCCGTCCAGCAGGCTTTGAAGACTATCCTGCGTAGCCAGCGGCTGAACATCATCGCGAACGAACGACATTTTGAGTAGTACAAGTAGAATGGCATGAACGGTTCAACGGTAGATCTACAGCACACGCTACGAATAAAAAATACTACGGACTTTTCTTGCTCACCCCTTCTCCTTCTCGCCATGCATGCGGACTACTTCAAGGCGCGCGTCTCTCTCGAGATGTCAAACAGAAGGACTGTCATGCAACAAGAACTGCAAGCTAGCTGTGCCATAAACCTCTCATACCCGGCATGGTCCAACGAGCGGAGTCCAAGACCAAGTAGACCTGGTAGACGTCGTCGCTTGGTGGTTGGTTCAAAAATCGAAGGACGTCGAGTCAGGTTCGTAGTCTCCACTTTGAGCACGATTCCGAATCACGTGATTTGACAACCTGGAGTGTGATAGCAAGCTGGACAGCATGGCCTGGCTGGAGTGTTAGCATATCCTTACTGGCCACATCTGGTGCTGGCCTAGCTTACAATCAATCATGTAGCTTGGTAAAGACAAGTCCAAAGACATAAAAAGGGTAACGCCTACTAACGGTTCGTAATACTAATACTAATAGTTCAATCATACAACTGCACAATTGAATCCTGTCAGTAGATCTACACGGCTTTTGCCTTGGAAAGCAATTAGTTCCCGATCGGGACAGACTCAGTCACGTCAGTGCTTGCAGAACGTCAAGTCCACCTACTGTGACCTAGTACCTCACGTGAAGTCAACTGATATGACGTACCTACCTGGGATAGTGTACCTGGTGTACGAAACGTTGAAAGGACACTGAGTCCGTGTGTGCCTAGCGCCTTCCTGTTCTTCTTGCCTGATGTGATGTGATGGAACGGGATGATGTTGACATAGGGTCCAAACCGTACAATTTATTTTAAATGCTCTAGCCTCTACGACCTAGCCAGGGCGTAGACTGCCACATACATGTAAAGGCAAACCAACAGAGACCAAACGTTTTCTCCTTTAGTCACTGAGTCGGGGAATGGATTTCAGCAAGAGTAAAATATGGCCCCTGAGCCTTTTCTAATAATTATTTCAGAGTAGCCGGCAGTCCTCGATGAACATACATGATTGTATAGCACACCCAATGGTGCAGACAGCCAGACTGTTTCGGCCAATGAGGCCTCATCAGTGGAACTCCGAGCATAAAAATTAATAGGATTGAACTGTCAGCCATGGCTACGAGAACCACAGCCATTAGGACAGCTCGATGTACTAGCGCTGAGAGTGCTCAAACTATCGGAGGTAGCGGGCAAAGCATAAAGCTATGATTGTATAGTACACGCACAGCTGAGGCAGAGCATGTCCCAGTACACGGTGTACGTAGTGCATGCACTGGGGGCGGGCGCCCCGGGCAGGGTGCGGGGAAGACGGCGATCAGCTGATTGGTAAAGAAAAGGTCTGAAGAGAAGATGAGACGAAGAGAAAGTTCAGGAAAGCAACCACGCTCATTGTTGATGATGCGCTAGGGAATGTCTTGAATTCTGTTTCCAATTCACTGTACAATTGTTTTTATCTCCCAGACCGTCTCTTTTCTCCGAATACCGGTAACTGGGCTTCATTCCTGTGATTCCTCCTATTTTCCGCGCTTGGCGTATGATCGGGGTGAACAACAGAACTCTTTCCATTTCAAAAGGGCCACCTGTGCGGGCAACAAGGTAGTGCTCCTGACGAGGCACCAGAGTCCAGAGGAGAGAAGCAGGGTTACCAACCATGCTAACAGTAAAGGAAAATGGAGCGGGAAAACAAGTCATAGTTTGTACATGTACATGTACACGCGATAGGGTCCAGCGGATTCTGCCAGCAGAAAATTGGCAGAATTCGGTACTTTTTCTGGTACGTTTCATGCATGTTTGGTATGTGGATAAAGAAATGGAGCAGAATTCGAGGAAATGCCCGCCATACGGTTTGTATGGTTCAGCCAATTTTACAGCTTTTCGAGCAGAATCTGCCACTTTTTCGAGCAGAATCCGCCGGTCCCTAACACGCGATGAAGATTTACCTCGCCCAGAGCACATGACATTGTGATAGTGTGTGCAATCGTAAATAGAACAACCCTGACGTCTTTCTTGCTCGGCGAAATTTATTCATAAAATTGGTCTGGGGGGGGGGGGGGGTATGAATGAATGTGTCCGACCAGTGGACAATGTGATATCGCTACTGAGACGGGGAGAGTGTGGTTCCTGGACAGATGGCCTCTACAGGTCCATGTTGATCACGGGACCGTTGCAGAGACATGATTTGCTTATTGCCAAATTTGGCCGCGTGTCAATGCCAGGCGACTGACAGGTTCGGGTAAACAAGAGAATGCCTTCGTGACCGGCTGTTTTGCCTGTCAACAGCCATGCTCAATCCATGGTCATCCACTGGCGGCTGGGCCACTGGCAGATTAGTCGCTGAACAGTCAATCACAACATTTGCGTGATACTAGTAGACGAATCCGAACCCGCAGGTCCTGGACCAGTCTCCGATGGTTTGAAGATCAAAATAGTACAAGTAGTCTTGGGAGAAATCTGTGACCAAGCGGCAATGTTTGGCACAAGGAAATATGTTCACGTACCTCGCCACAAACCGTGCTGTTACGTAATACGAGCAGGAGGGTAATCATCGGTGGTCGCCCATCTGCATTCTCATCCTTTGCCCGGCTTACCGACCAGGACACGAAGCAGATTTAATGCGCAACGCTATTCAGTATTGACATGAAATGTGTGTGTCCAAACACTTGTATGCAGAGTTGGTTGATGGGCATACGTCCTATAGTGTCTTCGGAGGAATTGGGCGGAGAACAAGCTCAGCGTAAATTCTTCAGGGCATTAGTAGATCATTTGGAAGAAGACAGCCTGGAGGAAGGTTCATAGCTGGGTCGTTAGTCACAGGTTAGTCAGGTCGTTAGTCACAGGTTAGTCAGGTCGTTAGTCACAGGTTAGTCAGGTCGTTAGTCACAGGTTTTACTGTATTTGATCCATATACCGAAAGTAGAATTTAATACATTATTGTACTGGTAATACTGGTGACTCTGCATCTTACTCTGAGGGAGATACTACTAGTAGTACTTTTGTGACACACTGAGAATCCCCCAAAGACCTCTGCCTCTGGCCGGTGCAGGGTGTCTCGCTATTGCCAAAGCCTCATCAATTTTGTCAAACAAAAGTCGAGCAAGGAATGGGATGCAGACATAGTGTAGAAGAAACCACTGTGATTTCGAATACTGTGATCATGTGTTGTGATCACGTGTTGTGATCATGTGTTGTGATCACGTGTTGTGATCATGTGTTGTGATCACGTGTTGTGATCATGTGTTGTGATCATGTGTTGTGATCACGTGTTGTGCAGAAGGATACTAGTAGTACCGGATAAGTATGCCGTAGATCAACTTCTAAAGACGAACTAAACTCCGTGATAATAATTATGATAGAGAAGCCGACCCCTGCTCTGTGTCGACAAAGCAGCCAGTGTGCCCTTTCACTACGGGGAGAGTGTGTGCGTCGTGTTCAGACCAGTCACCCCATAGTTGTAGTTGGATTGGCACGCAATGATTTATTGTATTTTATTAATTTTTATGATGGTAGACCATAATGCGTAATCATAGTGCTATTACCTCGCAGCTGCATATACACACGCACACACATCGTGGATGTACATGTACAATCGTCATGTCCACCTCGATTTACTTGTACCATAACCTTCAAGTGGTAATCATACTATTGTACACTGTACAGGCAGTCATGTACTGAGTCCATGAGGCATGATTACATACACCTAGGCTAGGGCATGACCTTCAGAAGTACCCACATCTATCTATTCATACTGTCCTATGCAGTCATAGACGATTGAAGCACTGTCGTTGCATGACTATAGTTATGTACAGTTTGAGCACTCTGGCAAGGTACGTTCGGGCCTGGTTTAAATCTGGCTTTGGAAACTTATTTTTCATTGCTATCAGGTTCGGCCTCATTTTCTCTGTGCTGCGCTGATCAGTCCACAACACAAAGAACGAAACAGTTCTGTTCGCAGATTGAGTAGTTACATGTACACTGTATGTACATCAAAAATATAAATGATTGGGACAAGCACTACCCAGGCCAGGGACGTGTACCACCCCACATAATGCATTGAATTGATTGGGTCTCCAATGCGGCAATTATGAACTTGTGCGGGCAGGGCCACACACCAATGCATCTCCCTCCTTTTTTGTCAACCAGGAACAATGAAAAGTAATGGCAAAGGGTCTCCTAGTCGAGTCCTTGTGCAACGTTAGTTCCATTTGTTTGCTCATACTGAAGTATGCCATGCATGGTACTAGTATTAGTTCAGTCATAACCATGCACTTGCAAGCAGGGACGTCGGTCGCGTCGCAGACGACGTTGGGTGCTCCCAGACCTATGTTGCGCTTACGTGTCCTGTCAAACCTTATAATGAGGGGCGAAATGTCCGAAACGTTGTGCACTGAGCAGGTTTGCACAGTGGAAGGTTGGACATTATGCTCCGGATGTCAGTTGTGAGTCAGTCGAGTGTAAAGTTCGCCAGGAAGCGTGAGCTCCACTTACATTGTACACAATCATTGTACATGCAATCCTGTACAGTTAGTATATGTATTAGTCCGCAGTCCAAGTGCTCAAAATGTAGCCCTAAAAAATTTCCGTTCGCCACGACGGGGCACCAAGGTTTGATGTGGGGGCCTGAAAGAGGACCCCTTGAGGTACCCAAAACAGTCGAGAACTGCTTCTAGATCTGGGGCGCTCTCACGATAGAGGCGAATTTCTTCGGGGCAAATCCATGCACAAGTTTCGCGGAGCGTAAGTTTGAGCATGCACCAAACCTACTCAAAAGTTCAAATTTGAAACCTCGCACACTTGGAGTGCCACGTGGTGCGCTTCAGATGTAAAAATGTAGATCTATACCTGGACGGTACTCTGTAGTATTTAGGTTCTAGGTCGATCGGGTGTGCCTCGCCTATGCCATGGGTTCACGTATTTTGGCCATACCAACTGCAGTGATGAGCTCCTGCCGAGTGCTGGCCGGCCTGGTGCTATCTCTTCTGTGCCGGAACCCGAAACGAATAGAACTCTGAAGTGTATTCACACAATGCCAAGTGCCAAATTTTCTGGCAGCCTGCACGGCATCCGAGGAGTCCGCAGTTCGACGGAAGGGACTCATCAATCGCTACGAGCCCCTGTTGTTGAACCAGAAGAAAAAATCTGCCTGTTTTGTGGCTGAAACAAATTGGCGAGCTGTACAACCAAGCAGGCGACATCTCAACTCGTGACAGTGGAAGCAGAAAAGAAATAATTGCGGAACGCTGCTGCCACACGAGAAGATCAAAGGATTATGGCAGCAATCAGTTCAGCGAATCTGATCGCTAGAGAGGTACACTCCCATAAGTCTTGCTATCGTTCATGCACTTATGCAGAGACTCTCGCTAGGATTGTAGCAAGCTGACAAAAAGACGCACATTGCTGACCTCACTGCCTCATCGAATTCCGCTGAGGATGATTTCTTCTCTGCTGTAAGCAGTGGACTACTTGATGACTGTGTTCAGGGGTGTAGCCAGGATAGTGATCTAGGTGGTTTCCACGACGTTCCCACACAAAAGTGCATGCCTTCATTTTGGTCCTTTCATGTCGGCCGATATTTATATATTTTGTTATTACACAGACAGAAGAACGTGCAGTTGCTGTTTCGTAACTCTGAGTTTCATGAACTGAATCAATCCGATCAGACGAATATTGATACTGATCTGGGCCTGAGAGTGCTACTAAAATTATACAGTGAATGTGGCAAGCCCAGTGTAACAATTACCGTGTGATATGTAGCGGGATATGGAGTGTGTGAGAAAGTGTTAGTTATCTGTGCACTATTACGCGATATTCCGAGTCGTGGAATCAGGTGACAAAACATACTCCATATCGCGCTACATATCACATGGCAATTAGTCCGCGGGGCTTGCCACATTCATGATATATAGCAGTACTCTCAGGGCAGGGTCAGTATCAATCTTCGTCTGATGATCGTCGGATTTAGTTCGTGAAACTGAGAGTTACAAAACCGCAACTGCTCGTTCTTCTGTCTGTGTATTCCGCTCTTTGCCTTCGGCAAATTGAGCCGTCTACGGACAGTGGAGGAACGTCACATGGTATATTTTGTTATCATGAACACCGCCCTATGGGAGAAACATGTGGAGAACATAACGGCATAAAACAAGACATTCAAGGTGGATGATGCACATTATAAGGATGATGTGCCGCACTGTGTACCGTACTAACCATTCCAGAATGGCCAATCATCAGACAAAATAGTCGAGTGCAAGTAAGAACAAGTAAGTCCGAACAGGGATGGCTACAGTGTGCGATGTGTAGAGTTATGGTCCGCGCGTTATGGTCTTTCTTGAACCAGCTGCAAACCAAGATCGAATTCGTTTTTTTAGGGGGGGGGGGGGGGGGGTGTGCTTTGGCACCCCAAACACCCCTTCGTATGCCCCTGGTGTGGTCGTGTCCGCTGCGGAAGTACAGTTAAAAATAGTTCATTCCCTTTGTTTGACCACACCTGGTCTTTGGGTCACAATATACACAGAGGTTAAATATCAGCATTGTCTAATATTTTGCGGAACTATTTCCCTAGTTCGAAACAAAGTTGATGCCGCATTTCTTTATGTTTAGGTGCTGACACACACACTGCATTTTCAGCCACTGAGCCACTGCATTGCTGTAAACCATTACGTTGACTTGCACTTGAAGTAATGCACTCCTTCTAAGGCCGACTCCGCGATCCGGTGTGCTTGGCACGGTTTTTTTTCTCATATCAGTCTTTATACACGTAATTAATTAACTCGTCTCATCAGGTTTCCTTTGTGTATTTTGTGGTCACATGTAATTCTAGAACATATTATAAATACTTTTCCCGTTTGTCTCTTTCCCTCAAAACCAGTTAACATAATATAATTATTAGTATTATTGCTTTGAACTCATCCGTTATGCGATAGTGTGGTTGTAGGTGCACACTGCAAGGTAGTACATGATATGACAATTGTGTCGCATGTTGTGTCATACTGTGCAGTACTATTTCTCCTCTCTTCATGCCTATACTTCATCCAAATTTCAGTACAATTTCGTATGCTGGGTCTCCTCAGCCTCTGTGGCTCAAATACAGTTCACAAACATCGCTATGATGCTTGCAATAGCCTCAAAATTCAAATTCATGATCCAGTTGCCATGGCAACGCGTAGAAAAACAATTGTCGCGATTTGGTCAACAAAGCCCCAACACAGCTAATCAAGAGACACATGCCTGGAAAGCCCTGCTCTTGCTCTTTCATTTGGTCATGTCAAACCTTGGTGCCCTTTCGTGGCGAACGAAAAGTCACAATTCTGCACCCTGGACTGCGGACTATATGGGGGCAAATGCTTTATTTATATTACTTCGTCTAAATACACATGTGCATGCACCTGCGTATGTAGACCGACGTGAACATGACATATTCATGGGGGTTAAACATATTACAAGATACATGTACGGCATGGCCATTGTGGTATTGACGCGCGTACATGTACAATACAATACAACATTGTGATGTAACGTTAATGTAATAGGTACTAATAACTGTAATGTTTCCGGCATTTTAAGTTCCTGGTGGTTGTATGCGTCACGATGTCGACAAAACAATCATGATGTGAACCCCAGGTATCAAATTACTGTGTAAGTTCGCACTGGAGACAGACGCTAATTGCGGGGAGACATTACTCTGTCTTCTCGCCATCACTGCACCAGAAACATTAATGCAAGCGCCCTAGTTCTAGTATACATGTAGATTTGGTTTTAAATACGGCCCCACACAATTATGTCATCGTGATTCTCGAGTTTACATCGGGCTGATACACGTACATGTAAAGGCAAAGGCGCGTAGTCATGTACTGTACATGTGTATCTGGGTGGCATACTCCACTCAGGCTCGCATCATGGTAACGCCAACCAGAAGACCTGGGAGACACAGGGACAGAGCCCATGGGCTTCCAGTATAGTCGCTCCATGAAACGAAATTATTTTAAGTATTAGTTGTCGAAGCCAGATGGGTAACGGGTAATTCAGTCAAACCTGCTGTACCTACACGTACATGTATGCGTGGTTAGGGCACCTGCTCTGGCAGTAATTGGACAATCAAGAGAAACCTGTGTTAACCCTGCTTTGTAAGTGCTAAGTAGCACGTCACGGTGGCCATTGGAGTGACTTGCAGGATCAGTGAAAAAACCCCACTGCATGATTACATGGCAACGTAGTCAATTAATATTATTAATATTTCAACTGGCCAGCATGCACTTGATGCCTCTACTCTAGATGGTTCTGCACAGCAGTACAGGCGCCGCACTATTATAATCATTAGCCTGATTAGGCATGTTGCTGAGTAACGATACTCGGGACGTCGACGGGGTCGTGTTTACATACTACGCCACACGCGGCGTTTGAAAATAATTAATGGTGCCATTGCCGCATCGAGAAGTGGAAAATTGCGTCCGCAATTTAGATGTGAAACTGTCTGGGTGAACCGCAGTGACAACAACCACATGCGTAGTCCCCAGCTGAAAACCACACAGTCATGGTAAGAACGGGACTACATGTACATGTACACGTGGAACAAGGAAGAGGAGGTTCTTTATGCAATCATACATGGTATGATATCGGTCACAACACATCAGTAGTTCAGGAATACATTACTAAAACTTAAAAGTGCTTTTCGATCATCACTGTTACAATTCTGGTACCAACACATCGCCGCCGGAGCATTTAGCCCGCAATCGGGCATGCTATCCAGTGCATGAGAAAATTCCGTACGTTTGTGCTGTAAAGCATGGGGAAATCAACTGAACCCAAAGATGTATGACGACAAGGAAGAAGAACCCCATGCTAGCCCCATGTGCCTGCCGGTGAGTTGTGTATTTTGTATTGTAAAAAATAATAAGAACCGATGTGCACTGACTGTGGGTTGTGGAAAACCCGAATCGTCACCCTCTTATTCTCTTGATCCACACAGTTCAGCTACCACATGCATTAATTTTTGCTGTTCGACATCATGCCATGTTTTGTATTCTGCAACCAATTCAGTTCTTCATTGATAAGATCACTAATTTTTGAAATGGTAAAAATGAGGAAATAAATGAATTCTCAAGAGGCCTTAGAATAGTGGTAGGTATGGTGAAAACGTGACCTGCAAGTCCCACGCGAGGTCGTCAAGTTTCAAGTCAGTCGGCAAAAAGCGCTCGCTACACAGACAGATGATAATGGGAAGAAAGTAATTGACTACGTACAGGCTTTGCAACAATAGGCTTTGCAACCGTAGAGAAGGAAAGGAGCATATTGATACGAGTTGAGAATAGGACTATGAGTAAGAGTAGCATTGCCTCAACAGCTGAGCTTCATACTGCAACAATAGAATGGCATAATATGCCACTACGAATCAGGACCAGAATAGTAAAGGAAGAGCCCACATCACCTGTCTGTGTGCAATCATCAACATGTCTATGTACAATGCAAATGATATTTTTCATTGCTATTTTACGACTGTCGTCTCCTCGTCGGTTATGTCTATGTACAGTCAAGAATGTCAAGAGAGTAATCCACGATGAACCACAACGATATTGAGAGAACACAGAAACGTGAAAAGAATCGAGACTGTCACGGAAGTAAGCCACGCATGATTCATCACAAAAGATAATGAGAGAACAGACAGACTTGAAATGAAGCAAAACGGGTTGCACTGAGTGTGCCAATGAGCGTGGCGTAATATCCACTGAGTAGTGATGGTCTTACTAGGACTGCATTCTTGGCTTTTGGACGTTACTTTATCGCCATCATAATTTTGGGGAACATTGCCCGTTTGGTCCGATACAAAAGAACATCTCAACAACAAACTACAATAACAACAACTGTACACTACAATAACAACAACTGTACACTACAATAACAACAACTGTACACTACACTACTCAGCTGTGAGATACATGCTAAGTTTGTCAGACAATGATAAACAGACTGTGAGAAGAATGGACGTGAAAGAGCTACACGAAGCGGAAAATTATCGGTGAACATCTAGTCACACAATCCAGCATGGAAACGTTTTCAGAGGCAGAGGAAACGTAATACAGTTACATATCGCCCTCCTCACTATAAGAGTCGTCGTCACCACCGTCCACAGAACCGGGGGTGTCCAGGTCATCTCGATCAACATCGCCAACTCCACATGTTGACCAGGCGTCAGCTTCCTGCATGCCATCGCTCGGAGCCATAGCAGAAGCAGCCTGCCCCTCGGGCCTGTCGCTGCGCTGCAAGAACCAGGGCTTTGCGCGACCGTGGCGCGCCTTCATGTGCTCCAGCAGTTTGTTGATGGTATCGTACTGCTCCGAACAGACCTCGCACTCCATTGCCGTTCGGTTGTGCTGCGTGGTGAGGTGTGTGCGCAGGTAGTCCCCACGGGCGTAGAAGCGGAAGCACTTGAAGCACGTGAACGGCTTCTCGCCGGTGTGGATGCGACGGTGCCGTTGGAGGTGTGCAGAGCGAGCAAAACTGCGATTGCACTGTTCGCATTGGTATCGGCGAGGGAGCATAGGCTCACCGCGAACTCCCCGTGGTTGTCCAGCGCTGGCCGCTACATGCTGGCGTGAATCTGCACTCATGCTTGTACTGGCAGTTATCGCAGATGATACACCTGATGATGTCAGGTTCCCGGTGACAACAAAGGGTTGTCCGTTTAATATCGCACTCGCCAAGGGCTCACCTACATCCACCTCCATTTTATTAGGATCTTCTCCGGGCTTCTCATCGTCGGTCGTGGAGGTGCTACCCATGGTGGCAGTTTCACTGCGGATCAGTCCGACGTGCGCTATGTGTGTGTCCTTCCAGTGCTTGTGCAAGCTGTACGCTTTGCTGAAGTCCTCGTCGCACAGCTGACACGCGTACGTTGCAGCCGTGTGTTTGCTGGATGCGTGGCGGTTGACGTGATCGGCGCGAGGAAAGCACTTGCCGCAGATGTGGCAGAGAATTTGCTTCTGGAGTCCGCGGTGTGCCATGAAGTGTTGTTCGAGCTGGTGCCGGTAGGCAAAGGTTAAATTGCACGCCACGCAGCGGTAGGAGTGTCGTCCGCCAGGCATGGCTACAGCAGCTGGGTCCGATGCAGGGTTACCGTACAGACGTCGTTCACGCACCAGCGCTTGGCCGTCAGAAGTTGCACCACCGGCCGAACCGAATCTTCCTGGAGGTGATACTGCGGCACTCTCTCTACGCTCACTGTCCGGTGTGCCTTGCCCGACTTGGTGCATTGCAGTCGGTACGGCTATCGGTAATTGCAAGATTGGAGCTTCCGCCGTCACAGGCATGAACACTGGTGGCTGGCTAACAGGACTGGCTGCTGGAAGACCGGTCGGATAGGTAAAGGACGTTGGCACAGGGGCAGCTCCATTGACTAACTGGTAGGGTACTAGCTGGCTCTGGTCCACTCCGTGTAGGATGGCCTGCGGGTGATGAGGCACTGCCACCGCAGGCAAAGCTCCTGCACTGCTTGCCACACCCGCGCTGACAGGGGACCGGACGATCATCGGCGGAGTCCCCTGCGGTGTCATCGTTGTCTGGTGCACACGATACTGTGTTGCCGGCTGAATGGAGTAAATTGGCTGTGCAGACATCTGCGAGCTCGCTTTGGTCGGGCTGCACATAGCTAATACGCCTTGCGGAGCCATGAAAACCTGTGCTTGGGGTGCATTCGCTATCGTGTAGCGCGTCTGCGTGAATGGAATAGAGGCACTGACATTCTGATACTGTCCAAGGCTGGCGTTAGATACCAATGAAGCACCTGCCGGAGAAGCAGCGTGGGGTGAGAGCATGCGAGCTCCGTCGAGCTCAGCGGCGCGAGCCAGGTGGTTAGACGAAGTACTGGATGAGGAAGAGCGAGTGTCCATTACGCTGCCACCGCCACTGACTGACAATCGTGTTGCTGAGATCGAGCCGATGGACTTTGGCGACGGTGCTATTGGGGTGTACTCGTCGTGCCGCATTGCGTTAGCACTGTACATTGGGAGAGAGCACGTGATCAGAAAGCGAAGGAGAGAGAGCGAGAGAGAGAGAGAGAGAGAGAGAGAGAGAGAGAGAGAGAGAGAGAGAGAGAGGGAGAGAGAGAGAGGGAGAGAGAGAGAGAAGGAGAGCAAAAGGTACAAGGTGAGTACAACAGCACATACGAGTGCACGCACCAATCCAGAAAATACACCTCCGTGAAATCCATGATACACCACGCTTAGCTAAGAAAAGACACATATGCACAGGTCCGTTGACTCCGTCTCAACGGAGTGAAAGAGACAACACCATGTGTTTTAAGTTGAACTCGGATGGTGCATAGCCATGATTGAGTTAGTAACTTTTACAGCAGAAAATACCAGAATGCACCATGATGACTACTTGCGCAATAGGAAACTCTCTCGGTAATAATCTTACATAGTCGCGTTACGTTAGAGGATTGCGATCCCTGTTTATTATCTATGCTCTGCTATTGTCTTGTGTGAAAAGAATGGAAAGTTCTGATATCTCCCTTTGAAGCCATAGCTTCTAAAAGATGATGCAGAGTAGAAAGGTGAATGAGAAAAATTCACTTAGTTGTCATTACACCAACGAATTATTACAAGGGGAAACCCCGTGGGCTTCATCCTCTGGGTAAACTTGATGCTGGAGTTGATCGCGCTATACAGGGGGGTTCAACCCCTGCGGAACTTCCGTCTCCTGTAGCAAGGCAGTCGTCTCGGTCCTTGTCATCTCCCCACAGTACCGTGGGACAATGCGAAGGGCAGGTATTTTCTTCTTTCTCTTCTTGTGCAGCACTGGATTCGTGCCAGTGACAAAAATGTGAAAGTCAGCGTGGAAGCACGTTCCACATATCATGCAATGCTCTTTCTGAACATCGCACCAAAGAAAGAAAGAAAAATCTGACAGCTCTCAAGTCAGCTGCATATAAAGTACGAATCCACGCCAGCGCGGAGCGCAAATCAGCAGCAACCGCGTTCCCCCAAGAACCCCCAGAGCAATGGCCGCTTGAACTAACCCGACATTAGATTTGTGCCTTCGAAATTCGTCGCATATTCCGACATCCTCCTCGTGCAATGACACCTGTGAGACGTTGCATCAATCCTTTGTGGTGAGATCATTTCCTGGGCCTCTTTCAGCCTAATTACTTCTAGATTTTGGAAAAATGATAATTTGGCCAACGACCATACTAACTATATGCTTCCGACCAAAATTCTGGTTGTCTCCTCGGCCGACTTCGTTCTGCTCGCCGTGCAGCGGGAATCCCCTGGCCCCGATCGGAGCTGACGTCAATGTCAAGAGGCCGTAAGTACGGATTCAGAGCGACACGGACCAGATAGCGCGCTAAGTACAATGCTACCGACGTCGCACCATGCCACCCTGCAGGGGCATGACACGCACTGACTGTGCGACAGGCCACCGAGTTGGGGAAGCAAACCTATCCAGTCACTGACTGAAAGCGCCTGGCACACTGTCAAAAATGCAAAGAGGACTGCGTCAGCAATTCTTATTCACGGACAAGGAGACAGCAATAAAATCTATGGACTCCGCTCTCCAGCTCTTACCGGTTTCCTTGCATTTCACCTTTTCCTCTACCAGAATTTACACACAGACGCAGGATGGACGCTCAAATTCTCAGACGCCAGAGGAGAGAGCAAACGAACTACTACTACTACTAGCACTTGACCAGACTTTCTTTCATTCAGAGGCGTCGATGTTCAACAGCACATGCCGGGTTCTCTGCTGCCTTGTAATGTTTCTTTGATTTCAATGAACACAAAAAGCCTGTCACCGGGCCAGTGCCAACAAAAGACCATCAAGATAAGGAGAGAGAGAGAGCGGCCAGGTAATCAGTGGAATGAGCCGATATGCGATATTACAAGTCCGCGAGTTCGACTGACACTGTACTTATACTGACAGCGATTACATGGGCTGCACGCGTTTGTCACGCGCCCTACACGTAGCTTGGCTGCGCTTGGCAACGTTCTGGATGTCGTTATGGTACGGAGCTGTAAAATAAAATGAATACAATCATATAAAAAATTATGTATGCTGCATTAGTGATTTCCGAAGTCGAAGACTGTTGATGCTCTACGTTTGAAGTCTGCGGAAGAGCTCGGACATTTTCTGCGGGACTAGCGGAAACGAGAGAGCTTAAAATCTCAGGGCCCTCGCTATGCTATGCACGGCAATCTACCCGATTCTTACATTCCCGGCCCATTAGTTGCACACCCCTAAACATTCGAACGATAATGCGACAACTTCTAACTGAATCTAAGGTCTTTTTAAATCAAACCGCGACCATTACAATACTTCGATTCTAAACCATATCGCAAATTATTCGGCGCACAATGCGACAAAGTCTTTTACAACAAACAAAACTCAACTGTGTTAGTTAGCTAGCTACAATGTACTTACCTATATCCTTTACCGAAAATATATTCTTGAACGCAATATTCTTCTTTCTTTTTCTTCTTCTCTGTTCCATCAGCACTCGGCCGAATGTAGGAGATTGGTACCCACCGTGCTAGCATCCAACAGCCAAAGCTGGGGCCTTTTTTACTCCGCTAAATCTCCTTCTAAACGAAACTGACCTTTGTCCCCATATTTTCCCCAACTCGTACGGCGCTCCAGATGCTCTGTCTAGATCTAAGCTACGGTACGCACTACATACTCCTTGTACGGTACGGGATATGCACGGGATTACACGCTACCATAATGTAACGTCTTTTTTGCATACATGTAGCTACGGGAATAAAAGTAGACGTACGGTATTAGTAGTGTCTTCACCGTTCCCGTATATTTAGCTAGGAGAACATGGAGGGTGCCCTGCCAACTCGATGGGAGCACGAAGACCCTTCTGCCCCTAATGCATTTATCGTACTAGTAGGTCTCAAGAGATCCGAATGCGTTTCGTTTCGCAAAAGCTATGGTTTAGTTCGAGTTTTAGCTTGCGTCACCACTTACGTAACTGGGGATAAGAATTGGGAGTTTTGACGGGCTAGATGCACGCTCACCCGGCGTTGCTAATCCTCTGTGTGGGATTGGGTGCCAGAGCTGGCACCGATCTGGAATTCTCTGCTACTCTGCATTCACTGCGTCAGACACAACGCCATGCGCCAGTAAACAGGGACAGAATGATGATGTGGAGCACAGAAGCGTTGCCTTGCGTACGGACTACACTTGACCTGCTTCTCTCGCAGTTTCTTTCACTCAAGATGATACATGACTGTATTCGCGAAGTCTCTCCAGGTTTTTATCGTGTCGCGAGATTGCTCCGCAGACAGACGGCCACTGAATGCGAGACTGCCTATTTATTCGCCCGGTATTGATAAGGTGACACTGATCAGTATTATTGCCAGCATAAACACTGGGAGCTCATGCGTCTCCCACACCGTGATGCCCCCAGCGCAAGACATGATCGTATTACTGTCCGCTAGACACGCGTGTCCGGGCTCGACCTGTGGCACAGATAAAGAATGCCCCCATCGTCTGGCCCCAAGTCCTCGTGTGAGGCTGACACGTCGACAGGTGAGAGTCAGGCAACAACAATGCCTCTACAGCCGTAGCAGTCATCGCGAGCTGCACTTACGTACGCCACTGGCCGGTCAGGTCCTTACTGCCTTATTTGTCGATTAGCGATGACAGCAGCGGCCGTCAAGTCCATGGCCGCAAAACAATTATTTCAACGTTCAGCATGGTTTCAGGTAGCTGCAGTTTAACAGATAATGATCATGACTGGCCAAGGAAAGTCACCTGAGAGCCTGAGTGATGCTTCACTTTTCATGGCTAGCTGATGGCCGGCTGAGAGTTGAGGCTGTTCGTGTTGATGATCGGTTTGTTTGGCACGCTGCAAAGAACGTAGCGAAGAGGACCGCAGTAAGAGCATCACGTTGCAGTCGTCAGCAGTTGCTGTCCTCCGGTACATCACAGAGCAGTGCGCACGCCGTCTGTTGTGTGCACAGTCGGAGAGGAATTTCGAAATGATTGCAGACCCCATCTACAGTACCATCTCGAGGCCATCCACACAACATCCACACAACACTCTATACATATACATACCGGTACAGTCAAATCCGTAGGCAAAATGTAAATAGCTGATGCCTCGTGTCAGCGAACGTCACCTACTGCCCTGCGGAGAGTAAACACCCCCCCCCCCCCCCCAGCTTTAACGGCAAGCTAGACACCTGCAATTATGCCCTACTACTAGTATCGCGATCAATTGTACAATAATAATAATTATTATTATTATAATGATAGCAGAAAGCTGCAAATATTGAGAAGCTCAACCTACTTGAAATCCTCATTTTCATACATCGTAGTGCCTTGCAGATCTCCAACTGACGCTATGGTAGCGTACCGTTCAGGTCTTGCATTTAACGATAAGATTTGTCCCTTCATTTGGCCCCATTTGCTTGAAATTACGGACCTCTTACGTGGACCATAATACTGAGGTGCACGTCAAACACGAACTTTGGCATACTAGTACGTGTATGCTAAGAGCTACTAGTACATGTATGATACGAGCCCGGTTTACTGTTATACAGGCTGAACGTACTCGGCTCAACAGTACACCTGTTCTCTTTCTGCGATGGTACGTCGTTGGCAAACAACGAAGCGGATAGCATTAGCAGTTCAGCACGCGCCTACTACCCCAGTTCACTCGTTTTGCTATGGCTTGCAGGTAACCTGGTTACTTATCATTGTCTGATTCAAGGAGAAGCGAAATACTAGTATGCGCCTTTCACATACATGACCATGCATATCAACGTTTTTGACGCAACGACATTAGCACTTACTCGGGTGATGAAGTGTTTTTCAAATAGATCGTATCTTCTGAATTGATTGCGAAATGATCTCAAACAAGTTTCTAAGTGGCCTGGCACTGACACAGTTCTACTCCTCACGCCTAGCAGAATGTCTGCTTTCTTACCCGTAGTCATAGAAGGCAAGGCAATCAACCAGCTGTGGGCAGTTAGACAGCGCTGTGTTAC